TGTGATAGGAACTGGTCCATGAGGAATCCCAACCTTCCGGCCTCAGCAGGTGGTTCAGGTAAGGTCACGTGATCCAATCTGACCAATGGGCATTGGCCATAGGAGTGTTGTGGAGCGGTACAGAAATAGCCTCTTTCTGCTAAGTTTGCTAGACAGGTCTGGGGGTTGGTTGTGGCTTGTTATCAGGTAAGAGGGTCTGCAGAGAGCAATGCTGACACAGTGGCAAATACAAGAGACAAAGAAAGTCGACTTTCTGACCACCATTTGAGCTCCTGGATATAGCTATGCCTGAAGGAGGCCATAACCTTGGACTTTGATGGTGCAGGACGCACTCGGTTCCCTAGTTTTTGTTTCAGTTTTGCTTGTTTCTGCTTTTTTCTTAAGGTTTGTCACTTGTAACTAGGAAGGCCCTGACAGGTACATTCCTGGCCTTCCAAACCCCTCCCGGTCACTCACCTGAGGGCCTGCACCAGATTGAGGTCGGTGAACTCATGCAGATCCACAAAAGCATGGAGCACCGCCAGGTTCAGCTCTTCCCTGGAAGGACAGGACAAAGTCAATGCAGTTTGGAGAGGATGGAGCAGGAGTGGGCAGGAGGCAAGGCCCTGGGGAAGTCGTGCCCCTTCTACTGCACCACAGCTGCCCTCTGCGGAGGGTGGAGTTTCCTGCTGGGCTCCCACACAGGCCTGCCCCCACGGTGGGGGATGCTCAGAACACACTCTTGGGAGGAATATATGGCTTGGGAACCCAGGTTAAGCCAGACCTTTGTACAGTTGGGAGAAATCCCGCAAACATGTATGCTACCTACTGTCACCTCTCTCAAACGATCCCCACACTCCCCAGGTATCCAGACACAGTCCCCATCTCCCCCAGACATCCAGAGATGCTTCCCACGCACCCCAGATCTCTGTAAATCCCTGATTCCCAGACGTCTACAGATGGCCTCCAACCATCTGATGTCCAGTCCCATGCATTCTAGGCTTCCAAATGACCCCCACAACTCCTAGGCTCCCCACAAGGGCCCAATGGTCCCCACAGCTCCCAGATGACAACCCAGTGCCCATGCACAGCCATGGTTTACCCCTGTTCTCATGCTCCCATGACCCTTGAGAGATGTTCTCCACCCTTCTCAGATACAAATGGATGCTTCCCCACAACCCCCAGGTAATTCCAGAAGGCCCCGCATCCCCAGATGCTCTCGGGTGGCCGCAGGCTCCCCTAGCCCCCGTGTCCGTCCATTCTGTCACAGTCCAGTCAGAAGACGCATCCGCCAGGGCCTCTCTGTGGGGAGGCTGCAGGGCTGTTCCACCTGCGAGCTGCCGGTGTGAGGGCAGGAGCTGGGCGCAGGTAGCGGGAGGGGCGGGCCCCACAGGAGCTGAGTGGTGGCCGTACCTCTCCCCCAGGTAGTCCCCGATGGCTGTCTTGTTCAGCCCCTCGCCCTTGTACAGGAAGCGGGCAATCTCCTCGGGTGTGTTCTGCAGCAGTTCATTCTCCACCAAGAACTGGATCCCCTGGTGAGTGGGGACAAGGTCTCAGTGCTGAGAGCCAGAAAGCTACCCCCCTCACCTCCCTGGGAACCTCAGCAACCAGACCTACCCCCGCCCTCAACAGACCAGGGCCAGGTTTCACTTTCAGCCTTCTCAAGGGTCTTAAATAGGATTCTTCCCAACTCACGGCCTTTGCACCTCACGGCCTACCCTCTCTGCCTTTGCCTGGTTAATTCCAGCACCAACAACAGGGTCTGGCAAGGAACAGATGCTCAGTACATTTTCTTTTCTTTCTGAGACCTGGTCTCGCTCTACTGCACAGGTTGGAGTGCAGTGGCATGATCACAGCTCACTGCAGCTTCGAACCGCTGGGCTCAAGGGATCCTCTCCCTTCGGCCTCCTGAGAAGCTGGGACTATAGGCATGTACCAATACACCTGGATAATTTATTTATTTTTATTTTTTCTAGAGATGAGTTATCACTATGCTGCCCACACTGGTCTCAAATTCCTGCCTTCAAGCAATCCTCCCGCCTCGGCCTGTCAAAGCACTGGGATTACAGGCATAAGCCACGGAACCCAGCCAATAAATGTGTGTTGAATGACTGAACAGAATTCCAACTGCTTCAGGAAAGAATAACATGACAACCTTGAGCAGACACAGTCCCTCAAGGGCTGTGAACTCCAAGCCCTTGCTAGACTGGAGGCTTCTCTCGCTCTCTGTGCTATGAAGCCCTCTCTACTGCTGCCATATCTCACTCTGAATTGGGGTATCCATGTCCAGGGGCTGAGCACAGGGCAGCATCTAATTCTTCTTTGGGTCCCCAGCATTGCCCTACACAGGATCAGGCTCTCAAGAGGCCTCAGAAAATGGGTGTTAAAGGCTGGGCACAGTGGCTCACGCCTGTAATCCCAGCACTTCGGGAGGCCAAGGCGGGCGGATTACGAGGTCAGGAGATCAAGACCATCCTGGTTAACTCGGTGAAACCCCGTCTCTACTAAAAAAATACAAAAAATTAGCCAGACTAAATACAAAAAATATAGTCTCAGCTACTCAGCAGGCTGAGGCAGGAGAATGGCATGAACCCAAAAGGCAGAGCTTGCAGTGAGCTGAGATTGCTCCATGGCACTTCAGCCTGGGCGAAAGAGTGAGACTCCGTCTCAAAAAAAAAAAAAAAAAGAGAACGGGTGTTAAATGAGTATGTGAACAGGCCGAACATGGTGGCTCATGCCTGTAATCCCAGCACTTTGGGAGGCTGAGGTGGGCAGATCATCTGAGGTCAGGAGTTTGAAATCAGCCTGGCCAACATGGTGAAACCCCATCTTTACTAAAAATACATAAATTAGTTGGGCATGGTGGCGGGAGTCTGTAAGCCCAGCTACTTGGGAGGCTGAGGCAGGAGAATCGCTTGAACATGGGACGGGGAGGTTACAGTGAGCCGAGATCACATCACTACACTCCAGTCTGGGTGACAGAGCAAGACTCTGTCTCACCAAAAAAAAAAAAAAAAGTAAGTGAACAAAAACCATTCCTCCACCTAGTGAACACCTACTCATCCTTCAAACCCGGCCTGAATGTCTCCTCCTCAAGGAAGCCCTCCCTGACTCCACCAGCCTGCCTCCTCCAGAAATCTACTACCCTGATACCTCCCTCTGTCATGGCACCTTTGCGGGAGGGAGGTCAACTCTCCTTTGTGCATATCACTTTGTCTACAGCCCTACAAGACTCGAGCTCATCTTGGGACTAGAAGTGCGCCCATACAACTAGAAAGTGGAAGACAACCTTCAGGGCAGGGGACGAAACATAAGCGTCAGGAGGGCTGGAACACTTGGTCAGTGTTCAGAGAACAAATGGACAGCCAGTATCTGAATCCAGGGATTAGGACCAAGTCTGTCCACCTAGAATAGACCCGGAACCATCACGCTTCTGGAAGGTGCCAGAAACCCCTGCCCGGATGTTTGCCCAGCGGATCCCAGTCCTGTGGCCCCAAGCACCTTCTTGGGGTCCATGTTGAACTTCTTCCTGCCCATTGCCATCTTCCGGTTCCGCTGCAAGGTCTTACTGCAGGAGCAGAGAGCAGGGTGGGGGATGGGCGGGTCAATGCCTGGGCATTCCTGGCCTCAGTCAACCCCACGCCCCCAGCTCACCCGCCCCAGCCCTCACCTGCCCTCATTGGCCTCCAGCCCCTCCACCTCGCTCATGGCTTCACTGAGCTCCTCCCGCAGGCGCTGAATCTCCACCAGCAGCTCCTGCTTCCGCCGCCGGATGTTCTCCAGCTCCATCCGCTCCTCCGGAGTCAGGTCTGGGGGTTCTAGGGGTCGGGGTCACGGTTTAAAAGTCAGTGCTGGGGACCATGAGCCTGAATTCCTGCAATCTGGGGGCGGACAGAGCTGGGAGAGGATGCATAAGGGCCTTCCATGTCTGCACAGAAGACTGCGCTGGGGGCCTGGATTCCTCCGTGCAGACAAGGGCCGGGGCTCTAAACTCTTGAGTCCTGGGGGCAGGAGGGGACTTGGGGCCCGAATTCCAGAGTCTGAAGGAGAAGGGGAATAGGTGCCTGAGCTCTTAGGTGTGAGGGAAGAAAGGGTTGGGTGCCTGAGCTTCTAGGTCCATTACTTGGAAGGGGACTGAGGCCTTGGTTTTCTGACTCCATTACTGGCGAGGTAGCTGGGGACCTGGTTATCCGGACTCCTGGGTCCATGAACAGTCACTACGGCCGGGGGAGCTGATGACAGCTCGGAAGAGTTGGGAAGACGGGGCGGGACATCGAAGGCCCCCGCCCCCCAAGATTTCTCCCCTCCCCGCAACCCGAGCGCCCCTCCCCGGCCCCGGCAGACGCTGGGCTTGCCCGCCCCTCCAGCGGGAATGGTTCCGCCCCGGCCTCGCCTCCACCGCTCCATCCCGCCCCTCCCGCCGCCACCGGAAACAGGCTCAGCCCAAACAATGGCCTGGAACGCCCCGCTTTCGGGCCCCGCCGGAAGCCCGTCCAGCGCCCGACAAAAGCGGCGCGACAAGTCTACTACTGGGCCGAACGCTTCTGGGCTGCGCGCTCCAGGGGGAAACGTTCGCGGCGGAACGTTCAGGAGAAAACACTCCAGCAGCTCCCAGCCGACCCCGCCCCTCCCCGACCTACCATAGACGCCGTCCTCCATGGCGGCTAGGAAGGCCCGCGGGGAGTCCGGGGCGGTCCCGCCGGTCGGGCCTGGATCCGCGTTGGCCCGCGGGCTCCGGTGAGCCCGCTCAAACGCCCCGGGAGCCACCGCCGCCTCCTCAGCGCCAGACCTCAGCGCTGAAAAGACTCTCCCCTGGTCGCCCAACCGCCCCTTCAGTAGGGACCGCCCCTCTTTTTGACACCGTCCAATCCACAGTGGACGCTTTAGTCCTCCCCGCCCTCGCCACCAAAGGATCGTCTTCCAGGGCCAACAGTCGTACAAAAAGCTGATGTCGGTATGTCCGGCCAGAGGTAGACGGCCCGCGGGGCCAATCGGACTGCAGGCAGGGCAGCAGGCCCCGCCTCCGAAACAACAGAAAGCACTTGACAGGCTTGCTCTCCAATGGGAAGCCCCAGAAAGGTGTTGCGCGGAGGCGGACCTACGCGGTACGGACATCTCTGCGCCTGCTCAAAGGCCCTGGACACTTGGAGACTAGGTAAACCGAACCCCGCCTCCAATAATCCGTTGCTAGGGGGCGGTACTTGGTTAATCTTGTTGCCAGGAGGCGGGGCTAGAACTGGCTTGTTTCCGTAAGCCACACCTCCTAGCAGGCCATGCTGGCTTCTGACTGCAGAGGTTGCCATGCAACCGGGAGCAGCCTTCGGCCTCCTTTTTATTTGCTTTTCTTCTCTGTGTATTTCCCCTCTCAGCCCCTTCTTACCTCCAAACCCTTTCCTTACGACCATCTATGCCCTCCCCATCCCCCTCAGCCTCTTCGGAGTCGTGGAGTGGTGAAACGAAAGACTTCTTCGTTTTTTCTTTTTCTTTTTTTTTTGAGACAGAGTCTTGCTCTGTCGCCCAAGCTGGAGTGCAGTTGCGCGATCTCGGTTCACTGCAACCTCCGCCTCCGGGTTCAAGCGATTCTCCTGCCTCAACCTCCCGAGTAGCTGGGATTACAGGCATGCACCATCACGCCCAGCTAATTTTTGTATTTTTAATGGAGACGGGGTTTCACCATGTTGGCCAGGCTGGTTTCGAACTCCTGACCTAAAGTGATTCACCCACCTTGACCTCCCAAAGTGTTGGGATTACAGGCGTGAGCCTTCGCGCCTGGCCAAGATTTACTCTTTTTTCTAAATGCTATGCTATCTGGTATCGGTCATGGAGAATGGAAGAGGGGAAGATCAAATTTAGTGAAAGCACAGGCTCAGCCTTCCTGGTACCTTCTGCCGCTCAGACTCCTCCCTCATTTCTCCAAACTTCTCCCCTTAGCTTAGCATCCTCCTAAGATTCCTCCCTTCCCCAAGCATCCTCCCGCTAAGACAACTCCCCTTTCCTCAGCGTCCTCCCACCTCTCTGATTCCTTCTTCCATCTCAGAAGCCTTTTCTTCCTCCCTGGCTCCCCTCACGTCCCCTTGTCCTCTCATACTATGGCCCTTCCTTTTTTTTTTTTGAGACTGAATTTTGCTCTTTTGCCCAGCCTGGAGTGAACTGGCATGATCTCAGCCCACTGCAACCTCCTCCCCCAAAGGTTCAAGCGATTCTCCTGCCTCAGCCTCCCAAGTAGCTGGGATTACGGGCGCCCACCACCATGCCCGGCTAATTTTTGTATTTTTAGTAAAGACAGGGTTTCGCCATGTTGGCCAGGCTGGTCTCAAACTCCTGACCTCAGGTGATCCACCTGCCTCAGCCTCCCAAAATGCTAGGATTATAGGCGAGCCACCATGCCTGGCCAACCTTGCCCTTCTTAAACTCCTCCCTCCTCTGAGGCCCCTTCCCCTTCCCCAGCCTCTAGGTCCCATTATTTGTAAGGGAATGGGATTAAAGGCTTGGCTGGAATGGGGAACCCAGGCACCCTTGTAAAGAGCGAAGCCATAATGGGGGCTGAAGTGGTGTCTGGGCCTCGTCCTCATTTTCTGTCCCTGGGCTGGGCAGGTGGGGACGGATTCGGGGCCAGGACCTGGTTAAGCTGCCGGATTAGACATGGAGGCTTCTAATCCCCTCACTGACCTTTATGAGTGGCCCAGGCCCTGCCCTCCCCAGTGGAAACCCAGGCTGGGCTGCCCTGCTCCCACTCTCCTTCCAAACAAAAGCCCCTCCCTGCCCCTTCACTTCCAACTTAACATCCTTCCCCAACCTTGCATTTCCATTGCCCCCGTCCCTACCTACCCCAGACACCCTGAGCTGAGAGAGCAGCCAGCTAATTAATCCCATCCGGTTATTACATGGGGATTCCGAGGGATAAAGGGAAATGGAGAAGCTGGATGGGGGCATTTGGGTTGATGCAGCACTTGTGAAGGCTGAATGGCAATGACAGTGGCTGCCCTCGGTCCAGAATACAGGGTAGGAACACGTCCTCCTCCCTGTCACTGGCTCCCTCTGCAGCTGGCTCCCAGCCTGCGGGGCACTTAGGTAGATGGCAGCATGGGCAGGGGGCCAGGTCCGAGGACCGAGAAGCACATTCACAGACACACCCTCTAGGGCTCCCAGTTCTTTAATCTGGGGGATAGGTCTCCCCCTAAAACAGTCATTCTCCCACAATGGGAAGAACCCTAGTGTCCAGAGCTACCTCCTCCTCCCCAGATCCGCAAGTTGGGCCAGGGAAGTGACTCTGGCTGTTAGCCACAGCCCACGCCTACCCTTGCCCTGTGATTCAGACGCCCGAGTTCAGAGCCAGCCTCCAAGAGTATCTTATATCCCAGCCTCTCCTGGAAGGTCGTATGATCCAGCACTGGGGAGAGAAGGGAAATCCCCAGGACTCAAATGCCCATCCCACTCTCGGTGAAGTGAGGACTCATCCTGCTGGAAAGGCCCCTAAATAACTTCAAGTTCCAATATCCCATTTTTACAGATGGGGAAGCTGACATGAAGAGGAGTCCAAAGTGTCACAGTAAGTTGAGGCAGTATTGGGATTTAGAGCAAAGCTTCTGGGGTCCTTGAAAAGGACCTCATTCCAATTAGCTAGTGCTCCATCTCTAAGCCTGTTGTAGGGACCAAGGGAAAAAAATAGATATCTGTATTTATATTTTATATATATATATAATATACATATGTATAACATCTTTAAGAAACAGACACACGGCTGGGCATGGTGGCTCATGCTTGTAATTCCAGCTCTTTGGGAGGCTGAGGCGGGTGGATCATCTGAGGTCGAGAGTTTGAGACCAACCTGGCCAACATGGCGAAACCCCGTCTCTACTAAAAGTACAAAAAGTAGCTGGGCATAGTGGCTCATGCCTGTAATCCCAGTGACTCGGGAGGCTGAGGCAGGAGAATCACTTGAAGCCGGGAGGCGGAGGTTGCAGTGAGCTGAGATTACACCATTGCACTCCGGCCTGGGTGACAGAGCAAGACTCTGTCTCAGAAAAAAAAGAAAAAAAGAAATAGACACACATCACTAAGTGTAGGGTTCCAGAGCATTCTAGACTCACCAGCCCTGGGCCTCTCCCTTCCCTTGTCCACTGATTAGCCCTGTGCCCTACAGGGCCTCACCTGAACCTTCAACTTCTAGGTCAACCCAGAATTGTTGCTTCTCAAGTCCCGAGTCCACCTCCTGGCACTGCTAAGAAGTCCACCTGGAGGTGACGAGAACTTACAGGCTTTGGTAATGGACAACTCTGGATGCCTGGAGCCTTCCTTCCTTTTGGCATTACAGAACCGCAAGAAGTCATCTAGAATCATCGAGATTCTCAACTCCATTGGCCAAGCTGGAACCAGCAAAATCTCAGACATCTAGAATTGCCACTGCTTCCTTGACTCTGTGATCAGTCTAGAGCCACAGAATCCTGATTCCCTTTGGACATTCTAGAATGGCACTTAAAAAAAACCCACCCCATGGATCCTTTCAAAGCATTGCTTATTCTCTTGGTTGGGTGCTCTACAGCCAGAAGTTGGAGTTACTAATATCAAGAACTCCTAATCTGTTACTTTAGTCTTTCTAAACCCACAGACTCAACAATGTTTTGTGCATTCTAGAAACATTACTCTTTAGTTTCTGAAGTAGTTCAACTCTCCAGGTCAAACCTGTCCTAGAATCACCAGTGCTTGCCTCTGTGGTCAACCTAGACTCACAGAATTTCAACTAATGAGCTTTCTGGAACCACAGATCTTTTTCTTTTTCTTTTTCTTTTTTTTTTTTGTCTTTGGTCAATCAAGATGATCTTCCATACTTGGGGCATTCCATAACCTTCCCTCCTTAGGTGGTCTAGAACAAATGATTTGCTACTCAGTTGGCTGAGTTGAGAAGCAACACTCCCTTGAAGCTTAGGTAAATCCAGACCTACAAACTCTTGATCTCTGATGCTGTTCAAGAACAGCCAACGTGCTTCCCCAGAGGCAGTCCATACCATTGGTTTCTCACCCTGGTCAACAATCCAGATCCCCCCATATAGAGGGATCTAGAACCACCAGTCTTTTCCTCTTGGGTGATCCAGAACTCTGGTGAGACTCAGGGATCAGGCTCCTATAGGGGTCTCAGGAGACAGCACAGAAGCACAGAAATTAAAATTAAGGTCCAGTATGTCCATGGTGGGTCACCAGACATGGCAGAACCTTACCACCTAGTCATTTACCCAGCAGGCCTGTTGGTCTTCAGGAACACCTGCCCCCATCCCAGGAGAGAGCCCTATCTCTCCATCTTGCTACCTTGGGGAAGGGGGCACACATGGGGAAGGCTACATCAGTTTGCATCACAGAGGCAGGGTCAGCGCCAAGGTTGGTGTAAGAACTCGGGGGCTAGCAGCCCCATCTTCTGTCTCCGCCCCATTCCCTTCCTCGGCCTCATCATCCTCATCTTCCTCCTGGCAGCAGCTCAGAGCAAGTTCATTCTCATAACAAAATGCAGTCAGAGAGCCAGGGAAACTTGATTTGAGGCTGTGGGAAGCCTGCTCTGCCCGTTCATCCAGCTCCTTAGCACTGCAGACCGGCGTCCCTGGGACCTCGTAAGTGCGGTGGAAGTGGCGATAGTCGACCTCATACTGGGAGCCACGCTGGAAGAGAACTGGCTCAAAACGATGGCCCCAGAGAAGTTCACCAGGGAGGTAGGACGAGCGACACTGTGTGGTCATGGCTGTGGCCTCAACCATCCCCTCGAGAATGACCACCAGCTCGAAGTCAGCCCTGGCCAGCTCGGCACGTCCTAGCTCATACAGAGGACTGGCAGAGTCGATCTCATGGACGATGGTGATAGGGGACACGAGGAAGATACGATCGGTGCCTCCATCAAAGCCCACATCCACATCCTGGTGGTCGAGCGGGATGTACTCACCCTCTGGGGTCACACGGGGCTGCAGGGGGAGGCGAGGAGCCAAAGACAGAGAGCAGGGAGCACAGAGATGGGCAGAGACAGAGGGAGTGAGAGGGAGGAAGAGATTCAGTGAAAGAAGGAGGTAAAGACCACAGGCGTGAAGGAGAGGGTGAGAACACGGATCCAGAGATGGGGCCGGCAACCCAGAGAGATGCAGGGGAGGGCACCCAGTGAGGAAGCCAGAGATCCAGGATGAGAGGAGGGGGGACAGAGACCCAGAGATGAAGAGAGAGGAAAGAGACTCAGGGTTTGGGGATAGAAAATGGGAAGAGGGGTGTGGCGGGGGAAGAGGAGGAGGAGAGAAGAACAGAGTGATATTGACATACAGACACAGAAATCAGCAAGACAGAGATGAAATCGAAGCGACAACGGAAAATAAGAATGACATCCAGCAGAGAATTGGAGAAGGAAGGGGAGAGAAAAATGGCTTTCAGTATGTGGCCAGAGAAAGATAAACCAGATGACAAGAAGGGAGAGTTAGGACAACACAGGTCCAACATTCTGTACCCACCACTGCCTCAGGCTTATCCCTGCGCTCTCCCCTGAGCTATCCAAGCTGCCAGGGCAACTGCAAACCCTTCCATGTCATTCTGTGTGAGCAAGCTTTGTGGGGGTGTGGGTATTTCCCCCCCACCTACCTGCTGGTTCCATAGCCACCTCCCAGGCCAAGTCACTGCCCCACAGACTTTTGCAAGAGCCAGTGTCCCTCCGATTCATGAATCCTGGCATCTCAAGGCATCAGGCAGGAGATAGAAGTGGGAGGTGGGCACCTATCCTCCTCTTGTAACTGTCTCTGGGAGCCCCAAGTAGAGGAACCCCAGAGGCGGCTGGGAGTTGCAGCTCCCACCAAGTCCAGCCTCAGCCCAGAGTTCTAAAGTCACTTTACTTGGGCAATGGCAGCTGCTGGCCCAGAGTTTCTTGGGAACGGAGATGTTTGAGCAATTTGACCACAATTCTAGGAACACTAAGGCCCCTTCCTCAGGGCACGGGAGGGAGCTATTACCCCAGGGGCCAATGGGAGGTGCAGTTTCGTTTCGTTGCCACCTCCCACCCTGCTCTCAGAGGGCAGGAGGCTGGTGGGACACGATGGGCCATTGAGTTGGGGAATGAATCCCCCACAGATGCTGCAGGACCCCACACCTAGAGGCCTGGAGAACTGTGCTCCACGGTAATGAACTGCACCCGTTCCAGGGCCTGCTTCTCCCGGGAGCCTCAAGTCACAGGCCCCCGTCTGTGCCACAGGGTCCAGTGGGAATTGTACACCCGAGTAATAGAACGGTCACGCAGGCCCTCCACCACCACCCTGCAAAGCTGCATCTGAGGCCACCCCATCTTTGGGCAGGTCCCTTGACCCAGAGGCTTCTGGGAATTACGGCCCAGGGCCTTGACAGGCCAGGTGTGGCCCTTTCGGGTCTACCCACAGGCAGCCCATCCTCAAGCCACAGGAAGCTCTGTATGTCCCAAGTCCAGGCCTCCAGGAAGAGCTGGTCACAGACCTCTCTTTTGGGTTTACATCCCCAACTGGCCAGTGACCCATTCGCAAGCCACAGACCTGAGAGGCTGCTGGGAGTTGTAGTCCACTCCCCCTCCAGGACCGCATGCCCCTCACCCTCGGGCCTACATCTCCCCCAATCCCCCAGGGCTCGCGGAGGTCCGCACCTGCAGCAGCTGGGCACGCACGTGGGCCTCGACCAGGTGGCTGCGACGCAGGTTGCCAACGCGCCACATGAGGCAGAGGCGGTGGTCGCGCAGCGCCACGACAGCGTTCTCGCTGAAGACCAGCGTCTCGTTGCGCTTCTTGGGTTTGGCCATCTTGGCCATGACAGCACCCACGACGAAGGCGTCGAGCACGCAGCCGGCGATGCACTGCAGCACCACAGCGGCCACAGCGGCCGGGCACTCCTCGGTGACGCTGCGCACGCCGTAGCCGATGGACGTCTGTGTCTCCAGCGCGAAGAGGAAGGCGGCCAGGAAGCTGGCCACGTGTGAGAAGCAGGGCGCAGGCGGTGGCGGGGCGGCCAGGTCGCCGTGCAGCGAGGCTATGAGCCAGAAGGCCAGGCCAAAGAGCAGCCAGGAGGCGAGGAAGGAGCAGGAGAAGAGCAGGCACATCCAGCGCCAGCGCACGTCCACGCACGTGGTGAACAGGTCGCTCAGGTAGCGCGCGCCCTGGCCACCCAGGTTCACGAAGCGCACATTGCAGTGCCCGTCCTTCTTGACGAAGCGACCGCGGCGCCGGCCCACCGGAGACTGCACCCGCGCCGGCACCCACCCGTTGCGGCACAACCCGGGCCCGGCCTCCTCTTCATCGCCCGCCCGGCTGTCTCCCGAATCCAGGGCGCCGCTGAGGCGGCGTAGGGCCCTGGCCAGGCCCATTGGGCGGAGGGACCCCCTCCACTTGGACTAGTGGGGGGCAGGCGCCCCCAACCTGCTGGGACAAGAAACCGGTAGAAACGTCAGGGGCACCAGGAATAGGCGCGTGCGGATGCTGGTCTGCAAATAGGTGGGAGACGGTAGTAGCCGGTTGTTGTTGGTGTGGGGGGGGGGGGAAAGAGTCGTCGCTCTCGTCGCGCCTAAGCTGGAGTGCAGTGCGAGCGAGATCCGGCTCCAGGGCTGCAACTTCCGCGGTTCCCAAGTTGTAAAGCGATTCTGCCTGTCTTGCAGGGGGCGGCCTCGCGTGACGGTAGCGTGGGGGACTAGCAGGGCGCCACACATCACCACCGGCCTTGGGTAATTTCTTTTTTTTTTTGTTTTTTTTTCTGAGAAGCGTGAGTCATTCGCTCTGTCGCCAGGGCGCGAGTGCCGGAGTGGGCGCAGTCTTAGCTCACCGCAAACCTCAGACTCCCTTCAACTCTGCTGCCCCGGGTTCAAGTGATGTCGCCCCGCTGCTGTTCACAGCCTCCCGAGTGCTAACTGGGGGATTTACATGGCCCGGGCCACCGGCGCCCAGCGGTAGGGAGGTTTTGTGGAGTTGCTTGTTGTGGGGCCGGTGTGCAGCGAGGAGTCTGCGCGCTCGTGTCGCCAGGCGGGGTGCAGGTGGCCCGAAATCTCCAGCTCGACTGCAAGCTCGCCGTCCCGGGTTTAACTGCCATTCTCCTGGCCTCAAGCGCTCCCCGAGAGCTGGGACTACAGGGCGCCCGGCCCACCTCCGGCCCGGGCTAGTGTTTTTGTATTTTTTTGTGAGTAGAGACGGGTTCACTCGTGTTAGGCCGAGATGGTCTCGGAGTCCTCCTGGACCCTCGTGATTCCGCCGCTCTCGGCCCCCAAAGTGCTGGGGATTAGGCTTGAGCCCACCGGCCCG